CTGCTGAAATAACTTATTGTTTCCAGAATCTATTATTATTTATACAGGAAAAAAGGAGATTTGTTTTTGCTTCAACTTAATTGTTAATATTTGTTATCTTTCCCAACAGTTGTCTCTAGCATCCTGCAACTGCATGCTCCACCAAAGGGAGACGGTATATGCTGTTATTGGTAATTTTGAATTAGACTTTTAAAACAATAATAGTCCTAAAATTTTAAGAGAAAATGAATTTAAACTGCTCCACACACCATATAGCCTAAAACAGTAGAAGTAGAATACATATTTAGGATTTAGGGTTTAGGGTTTAGGAAATTATGTGCGTGGCTGAAATGAAGATGTATGGTTTGAGAATTCTTAATGAAATTATTACTAATTTAAAAAAGAATTAAATAGTAACTTATTAGTTCTTTGCTTAGCTGGAGATCTGTTTCCCAAATTTCTAATTTATTTTTTTTAAGATGTCATGATCGACCAGTATTAGTGTCCCAGATTATAGAAATGAAAAGCTTCCCAAATTATAGAAATGAAAAGCTTGATAGAGAAGCTACTATGATCACAAGATAAAATATTCTTTTAAAATCATACTTGGATCATAATTAACTATCTTATATGATTAATTAATCTAAAAAAATCAAATTTAATAGGACAAAATATGAAATATTTTAGAAATAAACTAAATTCTGGGAATTAACTTACAGAAAGAGATTCGGGATCCGCTGCACTAGTACCTCCAACAAAAGGATCAATCAGATAATTCACAACCTTCAAATAGTTTTGTTAGAATAAGGCATAAAACACTCCGATCTAAATAATAAATATTATGCTTGAAGATGTATGTACTGTACACTGCAAGCATATAACATGATAGTCACAGGCAGAAAAACATCCAACAAGTGACTACGGTGACATATATCTCTTTCCCAAAATGACATTCAAAGAACCTGCCAACAATGCAAGAAAGAAAGTCGATCAAAGGCTAAGGATATTACTTTTTATGATATAGTAAAATATAAAATAGACAAAGAGCAATGAAAATTGGATGCTATCAATTAAGGTTTATTGAACCTTTCCTCAGAATTTTCATCACACACAAGTGTGGTCACTTCTTTTCCACATAAATGGTTCAAAAATGACCTGTATCAGCAAATTTAGGAAGTTAAGTGGGCAAGTTATTCTATTAAAGCTGGATGAATGAAGATTTAATTAACTACATTTAGAAGAGGTAATAAATACTACCAACAGAACTTATAAAAAAGGGAAAAAAAAAAAGAAAAAAAGAAACAGACAGCATGAAAAGGAGAAAAAAGAAAACTCTGATTTGCCTTCCATGTAAATCGTACATTAGTCCAAATTATATCAAGAACCTATTTTTGTTCCCATGTTGGATATTCTTACTAGAAGATCTATTTCATGGGCAAGTAATTTTTACAAGTATAAACCTTGACATTAAAAAAAAAAAAAAAAGACATACAAATTTGTGCAAAGCAGAGTGATCAACCTCTTAATAAATTTAATAGGACATGCAAAACAATAAGGTAACAAGTATCTCAAAGGGTTAATTGTTCATAATTTTAGAAAAAACTTGTACGAGTTAACTTGCACAAAAATAGGCCATGGCTCTTTAGAGGGTTTTTTCCCCACAGCAAATAAATGTGAACAGAAAATAATTCACAAGATGGGATGAGCTCATAATAGCACATGCTGATTAGCAAGAGCTTAGAGTTAGAGCAATATATAAAAGTGAGCCAGAAGTAGAAAAAGATCGGTTATGAATGGGAAAATATGATAGAGGGAGAACAAAAGAAAAAGAATGGTTCCCCTTCTTTATGATGAAAGAATGTTTCAGTAATGTACAAAGGAGCACTCTTCTTGCACACAGGGAAAATAGCCCTTTCAATACTATCAAAACTATACATTAATGCCTATCACACTCTAAAGGTTTTATTTATAGACTTTTCTCTAACTGACTGCTAACTACCTCTTACAACCTGTTAACAGAAATTCTAATTACAGTCAATGGGTTTTTTTCCTTTTGTAGTAGACTCCTGTGGTTCTGGTTGTGGTTGACTTTCTTGCCTATCAAGAACACAGCCAATAATCATATTCAAATAGACAAAACAAGTCATATTTCTTAGCTTATTGTTATATCAAAAGCAACGAGATTGGACCATTGCTAATAATGTCAGTAAATAGTCATAGACTCCATAGGTCATTCATACATCATGGAATATTCAGCATTTGATAATTGAAAATATACTTCATTTTAGCAAATGCATGAATCTGAGATTGTGTTCAGACTTCAAATTTATTATTTACCCAAACTATCATCATAATTCATAACCTACATTTTGCAGACAAGGGAGTTTCTGACTATAGGATTTACATAAAAAGAGTGTGCGATAATCCCAAACACATGCTGATTTATTTCTAATCAGAGAATGAATAATTAAGGAATAAGGATACAATCAAATAAGAAATCCCTAAAAATCAGTTATACAAGAGTTTTCAAGTTTCCCCTATATACAATAAATCAAATAAGATCTTTAACACTGTCAATCACAAAAAAATAATTCAAAGAAAAAAAAAAATTTACACATGCTGTGGGAGGTATTTCAGAATCTCATACCTTCAGAAAAGTTATAGTGAGGCCTAAAATATTATGCAATGATTTGCAGTGAAGTACTTGAAAAGTGTTTTGAGTGTACATTTATAGTAACATTAACCAAATAGAAAACATTGAATGATAATGAAAATATTTGAAAGCTCAAGAAGCTGGAAGATCCTTAGACATGTCGTGAGAATAAAACCTTCGATTGTGCAGAAAGTAGTTTGCTCTTCAGTAGTGCAGCAGGATTTGTGGGTAACTGATTTAAACAGTTACCACATTTTATATTTATTATGAGACAAATATAGCAGAAAAACATGAAAAACTCATTTTAAAAAAGTTCAAATAATTTGAAATAGAAAATTAGGAATTAACATTTTAGAAAAAGACAAAAGTTATAAGCAAGATATGCCAGAAGTGGTGCCCCATTTTTCACAATATAGCGCTTATGCTGTGATATTGGCTGTAACAGTAAACAAAATCTCAATCTTAATCATTACTAACACAAATATTTAAACACTAAATAGATCAATTGCCGATACTCTAAAACTTCCAATTACCACAATAAAATCCAAATTATAATTCAAAGAACTAAGGCTCTGGCAGTTCAAATATATTAGAAAGAGGTCAACAGTGGAAGCTAAATAACAGAATTGCTTTATATTATCAGGAAAACATAGCCTCAGATACTCTGTTTTCTAAGCTAAAAATCCTTACAAATTGTTGCTTTTCTTGAAGTCCAAGAGCATCAATCAAACCTTTAACCTCGATTTCCCTTTCAGTCTGTGCAAGGTGAACAAAAGGCAACATCAATAGTAAGAACTTCTGTTATAAGTATGTATTGAATAAAGGGTAAATTACAAATAACCCTCATGATATGTAAGTTATTTTCAATTTTTATATATGAAGTTTATTCTGAGACTGTAACCCGTACCCGCAACCCCCCGACATTTGTGTTAGATTGAAAACATTAATTTTTGTTAGTCCAAATGAGGAGTATGTGCCTTCAAAAACATAAGGATGAGTAGCTTGCAAGCTAGGAAATTTGGGTTTTGACTTTCAATCTATGAAGGTTTGTTCAATAAGAAACGTCTTGCTAACCCATAATGCTTTGCACCTACATGGTACATTCAACCTCCAACACCATTAATCACTAACTTTAATTTGAAATCCATAAAAAAAAAAAAAGCTAACAACATGCATTCATCAATTCTAGCCTCAAATTCTACATGCAATGGTGATGGAAACATGCCAAGGCTAAGGAGATCAAGAGGTGATATATTAAAGGAACCAAGAGGAATGAGATGGTTTTGAAGACCTTTCATATGTTTGTAAATATAGTAGTTATTTGTATAGGTTTATTTTGCCTTTGTATTTGTGAGACACTTTATTTCCTTTTTATAGACTATTTTATTATGAATTTAGAGTAGGTTCTTTGGAGACTTTTACTCCATTTGACCTTGTATTAAAGGCCATTTATATTTACTTTTTCAGTAGTAGAAGTGGGGTGACAATTAGCAAGGTGTGTAGGTGTAACTAGTAAATGGGCCAAAGTTGGGCCTAGGCCAAATTTTACATATTGAGCTTGTTTTGCTCCATATTTTCCAAGGAATTGATTTAGCTAGGCCTCATCATCATTTGGTGAACCTAACTAAACTAATTCCAATTTATTTGGATTGTATTAATATGGAACAAAGTCCATTGGCCACCCACCTCCAACCTTTGCCGGATTCGCTTATTCATTTGGCTTTTTTGGGAAGCTTGTGCTACAAGCTTCTTACTATTTTCAAAAGACAAGGTATAACTCAGAATACATATAAAAATCTATATCCTAGAATTTTCTGCCCCGATGTCACAATATCATAGCACACCCACAATTCAACTGTTGGCATCCTATATGCCACTCAAAGCCGGATCCTCCTCACCTAAAACATCCACAAATTGTACGGTGAGAAAAGAAAGCATCTCTATATATAAATTACATAAGGAAAACGCAACATATCGTCTCATTATCATTGGTTATGCCCTCTATGGATTTAGCCTATGTTCTACCTCAAATACCATGCACCCTTCCAACACTAGGTTGGGGTGCATCCTAGGTGACCACCCACAAGTTACATGCCAACTCAACATCCAGGTTTACAAAAACCAAACACAACCATTCAAAACAACTAGTATGATGTGACACATTTCATACCACTTTCATAACATCGTTTAAAGAATAACTACATTTTTCATAAAACATAGCCCCATCTGGGACTACAAGCATTAAGCTCTCAAAGATCCAATTATCCAGTATTTTCTACTGAACAACACAAAATACTCAATAAATCATTCTCATTTAAGTTGCCTGAAAGACTTTTCAAAAGCAACATGGATGAAAAAGATCTGGCCTTTTTCTAACATTCACTCTCAACTCCATGAATTAGGGGCTCAAGCCTTCCCTACATTCACTCTCAACCACATGCTTAAGCACACATAAATCAACTACAACCACAATAGGCTCATGCCCACAATAAGATACCTAACAAAATACATGCATTTATACATACATACATATATACATACATATATATATATATAAACACATCATTATCATCAACATAAACAATTTAAATCTTATTAACTTGGACTGTAAGGCTTTAGAGAACACCACACAACATCATATTCACTTTCTGGCAAAATAGGGGTTTTGTTAAGTGAGCCCTTTCTTGTTAAGTAAAAACCCCATAACATGCAACTTTTTCTCAATGAGTCTCCCCTCACTAAGCGAGCCTTTTTGCCTAGCCAAGTATTTAACCTTGCTCAACAATCATCCATGGATGAACAAGCTGCTCAATGTGCCAACCATGGCATCATTCTTGCTGCGTAAACTCCTCGTCATTGAATGAGACCCTTATGGTCTCAAAAATGTAGACTAACTCTCACTTAGTCACTATATATGTGTGGTTGAATGAGCTACACAAAGTGAAACCTAAAACATGACTTTCCATTAAGCGACCATATTTGTAGGTAAGTGAGCAACTCAAGTCTCACTAACTAGAAAACCAACGTCACTTGGCGAGAATTTCTCATTGAGCAACTACATCATATCCCAAATCTAGGGATAAACTCTTATTAAGTGAGCCTCTCTCAATTAGTAGAGCTTCAACATAATTATCAAATTCACTAAGCAAGTCATGCCTTATTGAGCAAAAATCCAAAATTTGGGTTTTGACTTTCAATCTATGAAGGTTTGTTCAATAAGAAACGCCTTGCTAATCCATAATGCTTTGCACCTACATGGTACATTCATCCTCCAACACCATTACTGGGCTACTGAATCAGCCTCTTCTTCTTTTTTTTTTTTTTCTTTTTTTTTTTTAACAATGTTACAAGGTCAACTCACAGTTTTTTTTCGTCCTTACCCAAACCTCAGGTGGGTTATGTATTACAAAATGAACTTATGTATTAAAATTAAAACTAGCTAAAACATCTCAAGTGTTATTTGAAATTTTCCCAAGACTAGATTCAACTTGTTACAAATCCTCCTCCTTTAATGTGAATATCTCTTTAAAATGAAGTGCACAAGAATAATTTATTGATGAAAAAAAAACCATTGGTTTAGACTTCGGAATTTGATTGAATACGTATCAACTATATTCTTACCATTGTATTAGCTCCCTCATCCCAAATTAGACTATCCTGATTCCTGAGAAACACTTCTCAACCTCCCTACAGCTCTTCCTTCAGCTTCAAATACAGTGACATCCAGACCATTTGATTTCAATTTGTAAGCTGCAGCAAGCCCACTTGACACCACCATACAAAGTTAGCCAGAGTTAATGGTCAAGAATATTTAAAATCTCAGATACACCAATGGTTGAGAAAATTTATCATGGAGGATGCAGGCACCCAATAATACCCTTCGTAAAATCAATCATCATATATCACCCAAATAGCAACAATGAAACTACCTCAAATGACATCATTTCATTATTCCTTTTAAATTCATTTCCTTACTCATACTTCTGTTCAACATAAAACCAATGCCGATAGTATTATAAAATTTCCCAGCACATGAAGGGCAAGGTTTCATGCTACCAACGACAACAGGTCTAAATCCATCCAAGCCAACAATAACAATCCAAACTGTCAATAAGACTAAATTAAAAGCGAATAAACTCAAGAATCAGCAGCAACTACATAATATATAGAGAAAAACTTTAGACAGAGACAAATGCTAGCAAAACCCTTTCAAACACATTCTTTTTCAACACACTTTCAGACACTATTTTTAACACACTTTCAGACACTCTCTTTTTAACCCAATCTTTATGTTTGGGAACAACGAATACATGGAAAAAGAACTGTCACTAGCATTTCTAAAATTCATATAGGAAGAACTAAATTGATAACATCAAGCAGTGACCTCACCTTACCCCGGCACCAACAACGGCTACTCTTTTCACGGATCCTGGAGACTCAGAAAAACCAAGTCAAGGTTTTGATCATTTAAGGAATTTTAGTAGACATGCATCCTAGTAAGCAACAATTTTGCAGGAAAATTATGACACATTCTCTAAGTTGTGCCTAGTTTGAGAATTGACATACTACTCAACTGAATATGAACCTAAAGACAATTATTGTTGATTTATACTTGATTATTATGATTATAACAATTGAGAGGATAAATTAGGGAAATATGGGTGTTTTAGAGAAAGGAATGAGCTTACTCGGGTTATGTTACTTGTTGGGTCAGTGAGAACTCAGTAAAATGTCATCTCTTTTTCGTTTTATTTATTTATATTAATGAAAGAGCATAAGTTGACAAGTTCAAATTTGGTTAAACTATTTTTCTTTTTCTTATACATTGTATTTGTTTTTCATTTTGAAAAATAATTAATTCAACCCCTAATGGAGTATTTGGATTTTCGAAATTTAAATAATTTTATTTAGATAAATCAATTCAAATTACTTTGTTTGAATTTCAATTTTTGTGTTTCTTTAAATATTTTGTTTAGATAACTCAATTTAGATTTTTTAAATTTAAAATTCTTAGTTTAGATATGGTAATTTGAAATTCTTAGTTTAAACATTTACATCAAATTTTATACCTTTGATAATTTTTTTGTATAATACAAATTTAATTAATTCAACTGTTAAATTAGGTGATATTATACTCAAGATTATTTATATCAAATTTCACATGATTCAAAAATTATTTAGTAATTTATCATATTATTTTATTTTTAACGTATAATATGATATTTAAAATGTGTAAATATCCATTTTTGAAAAACATATCTAAAAAATTTTAAATCATGTGAAATTTGATATACATGATCTTAAATATAATATCACGTGATTCAACAGTTAGATCGATTAAATTTGCATTATACAAAAAAATTATTAAAGATATAAGATTTGGTATAAGTATTTGGATTTACACCTGGTGACAATAGATCCTAATTCATAATAATAATAATAATAATAATAATAATAATAATAATAATAATAATAATAATAATAATAATAATAATAATAATAAAAGGATGAACATTTCATAATCTCATGATTATTGATTAGGTTTTCTATTATTTTATGTAAGGTAAATTAGTTTTTATTTATATAAATTTTGACCGTAATTATACCTTGAAATCATATCTTGTAACCTTATAAAGTTAATTGAATAAGTTATGTTTTATCTTTAAAAAAAATCAAATAATTATTTTATCCAAAATCTATAATTAAATTAAAAATTTGAAATGTATAAGTTTAAAAAAATAGTTATTAGTTGATGTGAATTGAGTTACTAATGAGTTGAACTGAGTTACTAATGAGTTTGAACCAAGTTGAGTTCAAGTTGAAAAAAAAAAATATTTATGTTAAACTCAAATTATGTTGTAAAGTTTAGTCAAATATTATCAAGTTGAGCTAAGTTAAATAGAATTTGACTCATGTCTACTTGTTTCTAATCCTAAAATATGGTAATTTTCACATTGAAAGATAATAGCGATTGATATACGAGTATAATGCATTACTCATTCTAGCATAATGCATTACCCATATGCATTACTCATACTACCAGGTCATGGGTGCATAAAGAAAAGGAAATAGAGTTAGAAGGTTATTTTTGTCTTTGTTAGAGATATCTGCGGTAATCCCTTCATCCTAAAGGGTAGTTTTTTAATTCGTGGGACACACATTTCCACAAAAATACCAAAAAAGAAAATCCACCAAACAAGCACAAATGTTTTTCCTAAATACCCTTTGATTCATTCACCCTCCCCCTCCTCACCTCAAATACCTTTTAAATTTATAACACCCTAAATTTTTTCTAATATAATAGTTTAATTATTATTTATTTTTATATTTATTAGGGTTATTTTATTATAATTATTTTAATCAATTAAATGAGTTTTATAAAATATTTTAGAGAATTTTAACAATTATGAATATTTTGGTTAAATAATAAATATTTTTGAAAATTATTTTGTATAATATTTATTAAAGAAATATGTATTTTTACGATATTTTATTAATAATAAGTATTTGGAGAAAAATATGTGTTTTTATTGTGATTGTTTATATATTTTATTTTAATTATAATTGTGTTGGAAGAAATTCATTTATTTTATATATGATATATTTGTTAATTATTAGTTATTGTATTTTGTTATAATTATTTGGGTTGGAAGAAATGTGTTTATTTGATATATTATTTATTTATAAATCTTAATATTTGAGAGAAAGGAAAAGAGAACTATGGTTAAAGTATTTTTTCTAAAGAGTTAAGTGTGGGTTAAGTTTTTTAAAAGGAGGGGTTACGACAATTGTTTTATTTTTACACTTCCACTCTAAGGAACGAGAAGGAGTACCAAAGTGGAAAATACCCAAAGATCCATGTCCTTCATTAAGCATTCATCGAGGTTAGGGGGAATGAGTAGTCTTGCTCTTAGCATGGGATGTATGTTGGGTAGTGAGATTGATCCTCAATCCCTTTTGTTGCTTGTATTGTATGAAGGGGTTTTTTCAATTAATTGTATTATGTGTTTTTGGTCTTCTATATGATTCTTTATTGTTCTGTTTGATGTTGTGTAGATGTATATATCTTCAATTTCGTGATTGAACCTATACTTGTGAAGTTTAGATTGCCTGTGGATTTCCCTGGGCACCCTAAATGGTTATTGTTTGAGTACTTAATAGGGATATGTGATTAGAAGGTGAAATTGATGTTAGATTTGAGTAATTGATGATACAATAGAGTAGTATTAAGCTTTAATCATGATTTTTACCGATTGGATTGTAGTTTTAGAGTTTAAGGTTCATAATGTGCGATTTTTGCATATCTTGTAAGTCTTTCACAAACTGATATCATGTTGGGCATCAAATAAGCCGCATCAGGTTCCATTTGACGTCTGCAAGTTTTCAAGCCAAGTGTGGCCTCAGTCACGTCGGACACAAGTACTCCCAAGAGGATAATGTCTTTTCAACACTAGGCACAATAAACATTGCTTCAAGCATGATACTATTAGGATCAAGTTTTGTGATCTTCATAAGGATTGTAGCCTTAGATGTTAGCTTTCAAATGTCATTGTAATTACTTAAAAATGAGGTCTAGAACTCAAGTTATAATTAAATTAGTGAACAAAGGTTAGATTGTTAGATTTAGGCTGAAACATTGCAGTTTTGTATTTTTTAAAAATAGTATATGGCATAATTAGTTCTTGAAGTATGCATAGAAGTTGGAGATAATTCTCTTAGCTTTCTAAGAAAATTAAGATCAATTTGATAACATGTATATAACTTTAAATAAGGTGTCCAGATCTCCCGATGTCTTAGAAGATTAAGTTATGAAAATGTAATTTGTAAATGGTGATGATGAATAATTTTACTCTTTAAGTGTTTAATCTTACGAATGGTTTGAGATACCTATATCAATATCTAGGAAAGATAAATCAATGGAGAAACCAATCTTTAATAAGTTATGATGTAAGTTGATTGTTAACGACTTAAAGTGTTTTAATGATAGCGATGTCTAAGGACTTAATGTGTGATATTGATAAGGCTACTAGAGTAGTTAAGCTAATGATTAAAATTCTTAGTGATGTTGATCTCTTAGTGACTATGATCAAGGTGTTAACATGTGATTAGATAATCTCTTAATGATTTTGATGGAGGATCATCCTTGAAGACCATAGGAAGTTTGACAAGGTCCATGGTTAGGTGGTTAGAGGAAGCTACTAGAGAGGATGTGCTTCATGAGCATAAAATATGTGTTCTTCTAGATGCTTAGTCTTCTATTTTATATATTGTCTAGGTTTATTTTTGACCTTTTATTGGTCAAGTAGTATAAAATTTTTTGTTTTTGTATAATTTTTCTTTAAGGTGTAATTAATAGTTTAGGGGAAGTTATTAAGTCAAAAGATGATTTTAGACCCCTCATTTTTTCTGTTTTAATGATAACAAACACTCTATTTTTTAGTAAGGAAATGCATTGTAAAAGTCGTTGTTTCAAACTGTGTAAGACGAAGTAACATTTGTAAGATGAAACATACAAATTGTACCTAACGATCATTATTTATTATGACTAATGATTTTAAATATTTTCAAATGAATGTTTTATACCTTAACAGATCGAAAGTTGTTGTCTTGAAACTCACATTCTGTTAAAAGTGTACAAAAGCATGAAGAGTAGTTGAAAAAAGGACAAATATTTCATATTTTATGGAAAAAGCATTGAAGAAGGATTGCACTCTTGCCTACACGTTGACTTTGCTTCCTATTGTTCTCACTTTACTATTTTGCTTTGATAAGTAGCTTGATCTATCAAAGATAAGGAGTAAATTTAAGTGAAAGGCATTAAATAAAGCATTTAATGCACCAACGAATACCTCCTCTCTCTAAAGATCAAATGAAGGAGTAAGACAAAGCAATTCTATAAATCAAACTTAAGAAGTTACAACAATTATCTTTTTCAAATCTACAGTATAAGAAGCCCTAGAACTCAAGTAAAGAAGAAACATAATAAAGAATAGCAGTGTAAATATAGAAAAACTCTAAGATACAATACACATCTCTTAGAATATCTTCTTCAAGAGCTTTCTTATATACTAAAATGATTTTTTTAATCACATATAAAAGAGACGACAATTGCAACCTTGTATTACCTTTACAACCATTGTTATAAGGTAGAGCCTATAAAGGTTTGACTGTAAAAGAATATTTGGATTTGAGTTTAGAAAGACTTCATTGTAAAAGAATACTTGGGTTTGAGTTGGGAGAGGGTCGACTATAAATAAATACTTAGGTTAAGCCTAGAGAGACTTGTCTATAAAAGAATACTTGGATGGGGACTTGAAGACTCAATCTAGTTGGATTGAGAACTGAACAAAGCATCGATGGTTGAGGTGAACCAATATAAAAATATTATGTGTTCATTGATTACTTTTAATGACCCTTTGTTTATTGTAGATACTACTTCACACACTTGAAAATGTGAGTTTTTGATTCATACTATTCAACCCCTCTTTCTAGTGTTTATCTTTTCTCCACAAAGGTGTAACTAACTAAAGTCATAAACTTATTTGGGCTTGGATGGCCCAAACTTTTTCATGGTCCATAGGTTTGGATTTCTACTAGATTATGCAAGTGGTTTGGACGTCCAAAACTAGCCAATTAAGCCATTCAAGTTGTTAAATAAGTCGCATGACTTTGATAGTGACATCTTAAGAAACTTGTTAAAAGTAATCATTAGTTTGTTAGTTATAATGATTAAATTAGGTAGTTAGAGTTAACTTAAGCTAACCTAGGTTATTTCTAAACTAGGATTAACTTATCTTACACTATAAGTTTCTAAATACTTAACTACGATTGGTTAGCTTGGTTAGCTTAAGTATAATATATGTAATCATAATTATACTTAACCATGGTTAGTCTAGCTTGCACCATAAGCCAACCAAATCCTATATATTATTTTTCTTTTGTAATGGCCGAATAGTTTTGAGTCTTTAACGAATTGGATGATTTTTTTTTCTAATTATATTTCTCAAATTGTGTTTCTCTCTTTGAAACTTCTTACATTTCTCTAATCCTCTATTAAGTGTGGTGAGAATTTAAAGAAACTTATCACTCTTCAAGAGTGTGGCGTCACGTAAAGTAGATCCTACCTTTCCTTGTGTGTTAGAAATGACTTCTAGCATCTTGGAAGCCATTGAAGGAGTTTGAAGGAGTCCAAGAAGTTAAAGATCCATCCAAGAAGTTTGAAGGAGAAACTACATCAATAAGTCTCTCCTAAGGTTTCCATCAGATTCTTTCTTGAGGTGTATTAGATGATGTTGTGTAATCATTGTATTACTTAATAACTGGTTGTGGCGTGTGAGTATGCCATTGGTATGACATATTGTGAGCTATGTATGAATTAATTAATGTGCTTTGATGTTGATACATTTGATGTATATGGATCCTACGAAGGTCATATGATGAGAAGTCTAAGTGAGACTTAGCCATAATATGATATGATAAGATGTGTGATGTGTTATGGTATAAGATCATGTGAAACATTACGTATAGAGTCTATTTAACGTGTATCATATGCATAAAAGTATTTTTAAGGGTACGATATCAAATACACCGCCAAGAAAGACCCCTTATGTAAAAGCTTAGGATTAGTTCTTGGGGGTAGCTCGGTTTCGAAATCTTAGTCTTGCCCTCGTGAGCATGAAGTGTATCTTATGCAAAAACTTTCTTCCCTCCAAAAGTCCCAACACTTTTTCCTCCAAAACTTTCTTAAAAACATTTTATATAAAAATGTTAATTATAAAATAAAATAAAGTAATATAAAACATATTATATGAAAAAATATACCAAAAGAAAAGAAAAAATTAATAATTAAACTGCTACTAAATATAAATTATAAAAAATAAATGTACAAAAAATATCAAAATGAAAGAAAAACAATCAATATATATTAAAATAAATAAAACTAATTGGATTAAAATATTTTAATAATTTCTAATGATTGCTATATTTTCACAATAGTATAAAATAAATTGCTACTAAATATAAATAAAAAACAAATTTATAAAATAAAATATGAACATAGAAGGAAATATATATA